TCGTCAACTCCTTGCCCTGCGATTTTTTTTTAATAGTTGCCTGTGCGAGCAACAGGTATTCGCTGTTTTAATACCATGTCAGGTAAGAAGAGGTCAAATGTTGATTATTTGCATTTACCAATTCTCCGATTTTGAAGTCGAAAGTGTAATTGGAATCGCTAATTAGCTACTTTGTCGCGTTTTAAGCATAATTTGTGACGCGAGTTTGGTTTGGTGTTGTGAGGCAAGGGGTTGATGATGATTGAACTCCAGCAATGGTACATTTAATAGTCAAAGTTTATTAACAGAGTAGTGTAAAATGAAGCATCTAATTGCAAAACTTTATTGACACAGTGTTTTCAACACGTCGCTACTAATTCCTATGATAGAACGGTATTATGCAAAACTGAGAAAAATATAGACACTGAGAATGTAAGTGAGAATAATTCGAAGGACAGTGAACCGAGATAGCGAACGTGTCAACCTAATTCCAAATGGTAGAAAATTCTGCAGTTAGAAACATTGGAATAATCCACTCAAGTCGCAATTTGACGAATTTATTAACTGAAGAATACTACAGCATACGCTATAAATGTTGGACGATTTAAGAAATGCTCGTCTGTGTTCGCCATTTCCAGAAAGCAGCAATTTCTGAGAGACGCACGAGCTCGACGGCCATGGCAATTTAACAAATGTTACGCGTCACTGTAATTATCGAGCGGAATTCGCCTGTTCCGCCAGCAGTCAAGTGTTGTTCAGGTCGTGATGCACCGACGACCGCAGAGAATTCCACTGTTCGAGCAGAGTCTCTGTGTGGGGGAGCCATCACCCTTCGCCGCAGGATGTCCACTGGTCAACCGAGCGTGACCATTGCCTACTAAGGCATTTTTACACCTACGCGTCTTCCTACCGAGAAATCATACGGAGCTTTAATCCTAATGTTCCTGTCTCCGTGATTTTTCCATGGTTCGATGACGACGACCGCGAACGTTCGAACCTTTAGCAAGACTTACTCAGGCATCTAAACGTGTTTAACCCTTGATTACAGTCGCTTTAAGGCTTTTAAGGACTTGAATTAATTTCAGAGCTGTAGCAATTCAAGATTCAATATCCATGGGTTGCTAAGGGTTGAAAATCTCTGTTACTAAAACAAATGTCTCCAAGTTTCTACTCCAAGAGTAGAATTAAAAATCTTCCGATTCGCTGGAGAACTTTCACTCGGTCTAGTAAACGCGAAAGAGCAAGCTTTTCCTCGAGTCCACAGCCAGCCTTGAGAGTGTCGTAATATTAGATTAGAAAATAACAGCGAATCACATATTTCCCTCTCCACGAGAGACCGTTGAATTTTTCCAAAGAGAATAGCGGGGACCCACTCATTGGTAGAGGTAATAATTTCTCGAACAGAGGCGAGAAGCGGGTTCACGGGTGCCCCCGTCGCGTATCGAGGATATTCAAGCCTCGGGAGGCTTAGCCTCTATTAAAAGCGGATACTGGCTGTCGCGTGTACAGGGGCGACACGCGAGGAGACGGCTGCCTGACCGAACGACCAATCAACGGCATTGTACCTGTGCCGCGCGATGATTGCAATTGGCTGATTAACGGCCTTCCAAGCGGTGCGAGCTCCGACCGGGAGAACCTCGCCTCTGTAACCTGTAACAGAAAACTGTCCGTTTTGCATACTCGATTGCATCGAGGCGAGCCTGTGTCGCCTGGCTTGTCCATTATCGCTGCGTTTTTGCCACACCAACGGTTCGCCATTTTGGATACATTATCGCGGATCGTTAGGTCGGTGCGCGCACGGAAATTATCGATACCGCGGCGGTTGCTGCTGCCGCCGCGGCACCGGTCTGTGTCGCGAACGGCGTCCGCGCCGCCGCGATCGTTCGGCCTTATAAATATTCGTGGCGCAATTAATAATTAATATTCCGCGAATGAGCCGAGATAAATCGCCGCGTTTTGTATTCATTAGACGGCTGGAAACACGGCCACGCCACAGAGAGAGAGAGAGACACAGGCCGCGTGCCGAAGGAAATTATTCGCGGTAGGCAGGCAGGCAGGCAGACAGGCACAGCGCAACCAGAAGAATTGATTGCCGTGCACAGAGGCAAGGCCGCCCC